TGTACCTGCTACCTCACCTGTAACAACCTGTACCTGTCACTACCTGTACCTGTCATACCCTACCTGTCTACACCTGTACCTGTAACTACCTGCTTTTCTACCTGCCTGCTCTGTCTGTCTACCTATACCTGTCACTACCTGTACCTGTAACTACCTTCCTGTCACTACTTGTACCTGTAACTACCTGTACCTGTAACAACCTGTACCTGTCACTACCTGTACCTGTCACTACCTGTCCTGTCACTACCTGCTACCTATAACTACCTGTATATTTCTGCAACTACCTGTACCTATAACTACATGTACCTGTAACTACCTGTACCTGTAACTACCTGTACCTGTATCTACCTGTACCTGTAACTACCTGTACCTGTAACTACCTGTATGAGTTAATAGACACAAGGCGGCGGCTTTGGCCAACTCGGCGTTCCCTCACAGCCACAAGTTTTACAACACACGGAAAATTATATTGTGTGGTGGAGGGACGCCTGGGGACGCCTGGGGAGGAAAAGTCTGGGTGTGGGACAAATTCCTGAATGTTGAGACAGTTTATCTCACCCAGAGTTACAACTACTACTAACACCACTACCACCAGCCCAGGTGTGTGTGTGTGTGTGTGTGTGTGTGTGTGCGTGTTATCTTTATTAATATTAGGACTGTTATTGTTAGGTTATTATTATTATTAGACGTACCAGCTATTCTTATTATCATCACCATTATCATCATCACCACCACCACTACCATCACCACCACCATGAACATCACCACTACCATCACCATAACGGTAATAAAGGAGCCAGCGCCATGGTTCACGGTGAGGCGGGTCTTAATGTGAGCCATACATCTCCTGGAGGAGCTTCTACAGGAAATAAACAAATTGTCCTCGCTTGTACCTTCTGCCACCCGGAGGAAGACAGTGTTATAATGTATGGTGTGTGTGTGTGTGTGTATGGTGTGTGTGTGTGTGTCTGTCTGTCTGTGTCTGTCTGTCTGTCTGTCTAAGCCCCTCACAGTAGCGTCACGTTTGTTTATTTTGTCGAGCTTAGAAAAACGGGAAGAGGAGGAGGAGAAATAGATGGGAATAGGAGGAGAGAAGAAGAAGGGAGGAGGAGGAGGAATGGGAGAAGGAGGAGGAAGAGAAGGGAATAGGAGAAGAAGTGAGGAGGACCAGGAAGAGGTGTAGGTGTGGCTGATCTGGATTATACTCACGATCGCTGGTATTTGATCTGGCTAGTTAAGGTTGGCTCCGAGTCACTCACAAAAACGCCTTCACCTCCTCCTCCAGCTGAGCCTCCTCCTCCTCCTATCGAGCCTTCTCCTCCTCTTCCCCTCCCCCCTCTCTTCCAATCCCGTTTTTCTAACTTGATTTCTTCTTAATCAGTCTACTTTAAATACCTGAAGATTAACCACCCTAACCTAACCTAGGAGGTAGGTGTTGGGGTGTGTGGGAGGGAGGTGTTGGGGTGTGTGGGAGGGAGGTGTTGGGGTGTGTGGGAGGGAGGTGTTGAGTAATGGGAGGAAGTGTGTTGGTGTGTGGGGAGGGAGAGGTGTTGGTGTGTGGGAGGGAGGTGTTGTGAGGTGTGGGAGGAAGTGTTGAGGTCAATGTGGGAGGGAGGTGTTGAGGTGTGTGGGAGGAGGTGTTGAGGTGTGTGGGGAGGGGGTGTTGAGTGTGGGAGGGTGTTGGGGTGTGTGGGAGGGAGGGTGTTGGTGTGTGGGGAGGGGGGTGTTGGGGTGTGTGGGAGGGGTGTTGGGGTGTGTGGGGAGGGGTGTTGGGGTGTGTGGGAGGGAGGTGTTGGGTGTGTGGGAGGGTGTTGGTGTGTGGGAGGTGTTGGGGTTGTGGGAGGGAGGTGTTGGGGTGTGTGGGAGGAGGTGTTGGGGTGTGTGGGGAGGGTGTTGGGGTGTGTGGGGAGAGGTGTTGGGGAGGTGTGGGAGGGGGGTGTTGGGGTGTGTGGGAGGAGGTGGTGTGTAGGAGGTGTTGGGGTGTGTGGGGAGGTGTTGGGGTGTGTGGGAGGGAGGTGTGTTGGGGGAGGAGGTGTTGGAGGTGTGGGGAGGGGTGTGGGAGGAGAGGTGAGAGATGGTGTGACTGGGGTGTTTTGGGCCTCAGTTGGCAGACAGGTCAGATAAGCAGCTGCACCACCGCCCAGTTTACTCAGCCAACACACAGAAAGAGCTTCCTCGCCACAAGTAACATTATGGATACCATGATCCTGGAATTGTGGTGGTGGTGGTAGTTGTGGTGGTAGTTATGGTGGTGGTGGTGTGGTGTTGATGGTGGTGGTGGTGGGGTTGTGTGATGTGGTAGGGGATTACATGGTTAGTTGTGGTGATGGAGGAATTACATGGTAGTAGTAGTGGTAGTAGTGGTGGGATTGTGGTAGTAGTGGTGGTGGGAGCATTATTCACTACCACTAAACCGTCTATAATAAATCAGCTCAGTAAAACCCACGTCCCTCAGAAAATGAATCATATGCAAGGCTTAATATATTCACCGCCTGTTGAAAACCTTTGGCACAGCTCATTCAACTCATCTTGACAAATCCTACATCAGAAACTATTAACACAACAAACATGCTCAGTAGCAGTGTCTCTTTGACTCTTTATTAACTAACCCAACTAATCCGTGACTTGTGAAGGTCTAATAATTGAATGTTGAATTTTAGAT